AATCTCTGTATGTTTTGCACAAATAAATAAATAAAGTATAATTTTAAGCTGTAAGCACCAGCACGCATAGATTTATGGATATCTATGCCAGCACGTCCCAGCCGGGTTCGTCACTTATTTGGTTCCTCTGGAAACATTTCCGTTGTGATCTGTGTTATTTGCAGCGCGTTTGTATTTGGTGGTGTTGTGAGTATTTGGAGCACACGTGTGTTGTGAAACTGATGAAGATGTTTTCTTAATTTGCGGGTGTTTTTTTTTTATTTGCACGCGTTTTTTTCTATTTGCATGCGTTTTATTTTATTTGCATGTGTTTTTTTCTATTTGCATGTGTTTTCTTCAGTTACAGCGCGTTGAGCTCTCTCGGCCACCGTATATATGATCTTTTTTTTTTCAGTATTCTTTAATGAATAGAAAGTTCAAAAGAACAATTTATTTGAAATAGAAATGCATTCCTTACCTGAATAAAAGTCTTATTTCTTCCAAATATATATATATATATATATCTTACTAACGCCAAACTTTTGATGGTAGTGTACAAAAAAATCAAACCAAGTGGCATCTGCAAAGAAATAATGGTAGCTTTTCTCAGAATTAACTTCTGAGCCACCTTTTAAATTAGTCTTAACCAATTAGTGTCATTTTTCAGGAGTGTGAAGTTAGTTCAGTCCTAGTATTAACAATAAACATTCTTCAAAAAAGTTTGCAAACCAGAAAGTGTTGATTTTTTTACTTAATTTTAAGCAATATATTTGTTTCATATTTTGAAATGTAGCAAACTTCATTTTGTTTAAATATTTTGATTGAAAACTGTGCTTGCACCATATTTCTTAATAAATAGCACTTGTTTTGATATTTTAATCCAAATACATATAAAAAAATATTTTTAATTGTGGTTTAAGTAGTCAAATATTTTTTGGTACCACTGTACATGCTCAAAGGAGCTTGTGTTTTTCTTCCACTTCAGATGTGAATAGCTGTTTTCAACCTATTTTACTTCTGCTATCGGATGCATATTTACAGTGGAAAAAATAGGGTGCATGGGACTAGATTTTATACATCACAGCTTGATTGGAAGGTGAAAATATTTTTTTTTAAATGGAGCCAGACCAAATGCAAGTTAACTCATATTATAGCTACTTATTATCTACTTGGTTATCGGTACATTTCAAAAGAAAATTTCAAAAGATGAGCAAACTGTTGACTAAATCCATCAATTATCATTCACATTAAGACCAGGCTTACGAAAGAAAACAGAATAAACTTTGATTTCAAGTGATCTTAAAGTTGCGATGAAATCGAATAACGACAAAAAAAAAGTCTGTATTGTGACATACATCCGAGTGAAACATTATCGAAAAAGACAAAAATCTAGAGCAAGCTTGCAGTCCATTGAAAGAAAGAGGCAGGGTTTAAGTGGACTAATTTGAGACATCCGGCATATGTCACTAAAGAGAAGTATGTCATTTCACCAGAATATCGAGTTCTAACATTTTGATTAAGAATTATGAACTGAATTAAAGCTGAAACACGCACGGATGAATTGTTCACAATAGGATCTATAAAATGCTTTTAGAAAACAGATAGGGAGAAATTTTAATTCATGTTGACTTTAGGGAGTGATAAATTTGCTTCCACAATCAAGTTGAGTGGGACAAGCTGTTTTTCATCAAAGCTTTCCAAATGCCCAGTATCCTTTCACCCCTTGCCTTTCCCTCTCCTTGCTCTGCCTCTCTCTAGCATTTGATTGTCCTGTGGGATATCAGCAACTTTTGAATACTGCACAGCTCCAAAACAGACGTGAGTGTCTTAATAATAGTTGCAGCCTAGAAAGTCAAAGCGGTGTAAATAATGCCAGTCAAAAAGTCAGCAAGCATGAAGCCCCAGTTGCTCATTTCAATATAATGGATTCAGATAAAATATATATATCCCCCTTTAGGATATGCTTGAAATGGAAGGGATTTTTTTCCAGTAATAAAATGTAATCAAGTCAGAATGTTACTCAGATCTTTAATCATTCATTAAAAAAACATTTTTATAATATTTTAAACGCTTCATCACAGGTGTGTTTTGTTTGTAGTTCACATAATATGGTGCTTAAGTTTTGTGAAGCATTGAATGTTGTCATTTTAATTTGACTGCTGGTGCCAATTTATTTTGATACAGTTGGTTGATCAGCATTCCACCACTACATTTGCTTTGCGCTGCTATCTGGTTTTGCAAGATAATGAAGGTCAAATGAGAGGTGCGGTGCATGTTAAAGAGCTCCTGCTGTTCTGACCCCACTCACAAACTCTGTTTGTTGACAGAAGTCTGCACAGACACTACAAAGAACACAGCCTATTTTAGTGACCTAGGGCTGGGCTTACATCGTTCCGAACCAAGCGAAAAGACACAATTTGTCCAAAACATCAAACACAAACAGCCAAACACAACAGTTATCTCTGTTTGCGCGCGCTCTCCGTTTCGCAACGGAGTTGAAATAACATACCTTGCTTCATGATGCCTCACCAGCTGGCCTTTTTATATATATACATACCGTGTGAACTTGAGGGATCTTTTGTAGTATATCCAATTCTAAATTTCCACAATCTTTCCTCGTCCATGTTTTCGGCGTGGGCGGGCCTACCAGGCGCTACTCCGCGACTTACGCCGCGAGAGTTAAAAACAAACAAGTTTTTATTAGGGATGTGCACAAGTACTCGACGTGACTTTAAAAATATATATTTCTCATTCCCATCAAACACAGAACGTTCCAACGACGTAGTATATACTATATCTCTCTTTTAATGTAATGTTTATTTAATAATTAAGTGTATCAGGGACTTTACATTTGAGGTATATATATATATATACACAGTATAAATAATGAGAGGACTTATAAATTATAAAACATCACCACACACCACTGGTGTACATTATGTACTCTTAATGGTTCAATCCAGATTTGAAAACTAAAAAAGAAAGGCAGCCTTAAGACATCAGAATGATTCTAGTGATGTATATAACCCATTTCCTAGGGCCCCTTTCCTGGTCCCATATGTCTACTGAGGACATACAGTACACATACAGTATCTACACCGCTACACTAAAAGCTTGCAGGAATCCTTAGTCAACATGAAGGCAATCACAATCCAGTTTACTTCCATTATTGGACATATTTTCAAGTGAAAAAACAGGATATTCAGCATAGGGCAGGGCTTGATTTTATCCACTGGACCATGAAAAGCAGACTCAAAAGTATATTTGAAACAACACGCACCAATGAATCAAGCAATAAGGAATAAATATTGAAATATGCAAATCAATGAGAATGAAATGGCAACATGAAAATAAGCAATAGAGCTCATTATAAAGATATCTTGTGACTGCACACACTAGCTCCATTTCACTAGGAGCGGCGGCTCTGGGTGTCAGAGATGTGGAAACACTTCAGCAGAATTACAGACCCAGCTGGGCTGGGGTAGATTTCTGTCTTTCTTTCTTTTCCCTCCTCTGCTAAAGACCAGAACCTCATCTATCCCAAAAGCCCCAGAGACACAGGTCCCCGCACCAGAGAGGCCATCTGTCAAAACAAGTTAGACGTCACATCACAGCTTGCCACAACTGTCGTAATAGTGGAGGAAAAAGCCACTACGAGTGTTCTTATTCAGGATAAAACGCTAAACTATGGCCTCTATGGATGTAATGGTAATGCATTGTAACCGATTATATTTATCTTTGCATTTTAACATTTAACCTCTGCATTTATTTGCTTTGGCTGATTCTGTACCCAAGCTAAAAGGATCAAAACATGAGAAATGTTGCACATTTAAAAATAAAAAATAAAGTTCCATTGGTTAACATGACCTAACAATGTTTTATCTTTTAATATTTTAAATACCTGAGCTAACATGAACTACCCATAGTAAATACATTTAAAAAAAACATGAACTAACGTAACTTATTCTAAAGTGTTACCAAAATGTCTCTGAATGAAAATACTAAAAGCTTTGCTATCAATATTCACCTCTTTCACTGCTGTGCTCTCACAGACAATTACCTCAAACCATGTGTCAGTCTTTCCTCAGCTCTTCATGGGATTTTCATCTGTCACCATATCCCATCATGCATTTCCTATGTCAATGCTTTCTGCATAGCCAATCAAAGCAATAGGACAAAACAAGCCTAAAACACACTGACTACGATTCATTTTAGATTATGGCTATCAAGGTTTTGGTTATAGAAGAACACTCAAAAGAATAGTTGTCAGACAGAGGTGTGTGTCCATCAATTATATCTTACCTTGTCATGCAGCAAACTGCAAGCGGTTTGTGCTTCACCCTCATTCGGGTGAGATAAGTGGCTGGTATGATACTGTATATCCTGATAGGAAATACAATATTTTACAGCTGAGAGGTTAAGTGTGCTTGTGAAGAACCTGCCATTGGTGAACCTCAGTAAAACAGACTATTATATATAATATAGGTAAAGTTATTTTTAAAGTGATGGCAGATTTAAGGCAGAAAATACTGTAAAGTTAGGGGGGGAATTAAAATCACTGCATGCGTGACCAATCAGCATCATAAAACTTTACAGTGCATGTAATTTTCATTGCCAAGAATAATGACCTCTTAAAAATATCATCGACTTTCTCATTGTGTGAGCCTTTAATTTCTGCTTAAAATGGCCAGTGCTTTTCCATGATCATGCATTTCAAAATTTATATTAAAAAATTCAGGAATATCTGGCTGCAAAAATGTCCTCAGAATAAAAATAGAATTTGATCAGTGGTTTCCCTGACTACAACCCCACTGTAAATGGCTTTAAGACTTGATGAGCAAATATGTGTTTTAAGGGCTCTGATCTCAGAGACAACCGTGACAAGGTTGTATGGAATAGGAATGAAGAACATGTCTTTTAGATGTTGATCGAATGACATCAACATGACTGGTGGTTTTACTGCTTTGCTATTAATGATTATTGATCATTTTGCTCTCTTTGAAACACAAAGACTCACTAGATTCAACATTTTATAAATTATGTTTAATCATATATATGTACATATAAACCCATGATTGTACGTCTTTTGACACCCATCAATGTGGAGATTTTGTTTTTGTTTTAATTTGGTTGAATAAACTGATAATGAACAGCCTGAGGTACAATCAACAGAAAGTTCACTCATAAAATCATTTAAAATGCTGTTGTTTTACGATTTTTGTCTGTTTAACTTTAAAATGTACTTAATGAAATATAAAACTTGTTTATATGCATTCACAGAAACAATAAATGGTTCACAATAGCTGTCAAAGTGTTTTGTCTTAGTCTGTTTTTTTTTATCATCAGGCTACAGCTATAATGCTATTAGAGGGTGATTAAAATCAAAACATGATTAAAATGAAGAATTTCCCATCACAAAACCTTAAGAAAAAGAAAAAAACCAGTGTGTGCATTGTGCAAATGTGTGCAACTACATCACATTGAGAACAGGGAAGCACTGTGTTTAAAATTCTGTCAGCCTCTCAGCTCAGATCATAAAGCGGAGCTACAGGCGCAAGTGGGTAAAATAGTCAGCACAGGTTAAATGAACAAAGTAAAAACATCTTCACTTCTTGCGAAGGACCTTGTCACCCAGAGGCACGTCATCCATGAGTTTCTGCAGATGTGAGGTAAAGAAAGTTTGAGAACTACCAAAAAGAGGTCATGTTTATAGACTGAAGAAAGGACAGCATCAGCCCACCTTAAGTCTGGCAAAGTATGCTCTCTCATCTTCTCCTTCCCCCTGTGTGATGTCCACATGGTATCTCCTGCAGGCCACGATCAGCTCATCAAGAGCGTAAAGGAGGGCGGGGTCAATAGAATGTCCATTAATGAGGCTGACCAGGTACTCTCGATAATGCTTCCTGAAACACAACACAATTTTATGTACCTCTAAAAAGTAGGGAGAGGCATGTGTGTTATATTGTCTCATCAAGTACACCATCTTCTGTCTTCACCATTTTTTTTCCCCTATTTACAGCATTAGATGTCTTTGGCCATTGCATCGCATCTGTTTTTTCCCCCAGTGTCTCACCATCCCACTTAAGACTAGAGATATTAGCATATTGTGGTCAAAATTCAAACATGATTACAAATTCAGCTCACATTTGATCTTCCTAATTTTGTACTTTTGATCTTTGCTGTAATGCATATTTGCCTTTGCACTTTCCAAGTATTTAAAAATGTGATGGTGCTTGTCTCTTAAAGTGTGCTGCAGGAATAAGTCCAAAGCCAAGAAATGAATTTGCATTTTTGCCCTTCTGGTTCTATTGTCACAAAGACAATGGGTATATTGAACAGGTTTCTGGTTAAATGCCTGAAATAAAGTCTGTGGTTATCAAGCTAAATACATTTTCAAATGTTATTCTACAATATAAAATACACCAGCAATACCCCACTCATAATTTACTTATATATATAAGGTTTAACGTGTTTTGAAAAAGGCAGTTGGTATAAGTGGCTAAATGGCACTACAGAGAATGTTGGAGACATTATGATCATCACGCTGAACAGATCTCATCTCATCAACTCATCTATTCACTAGTCTGCTTTTACAGCCTTGTTGTACTCGCAGTCTTGCAAACTACTCTAACTCAAACTTGTAGAGCTTAAAGATCAAAAGAGTTGTCAGATGCTTAGTGTTGGTGACATAATAGTCATGAAACTGTAGTGTAGTTCGTTTATAGCCTACCTTTAGCTTTTTACTTCTGGCGATTGCATTTGTTTCAAAAAGTTGTTTTTATTTGTGAAGGTCTTGATGAATAAAACATGTAAAAAAAATTTTTTTAAATTTGCTCACAGAGATTATTTATATATATATATATATATATATATATATATATATATATATATATATATATATATATATATATATATATATATATATATATATATATATAAAAATAATTGTCAGTTAATCCAAAGAAAGAACAAAATGAGTACTCTTGAATGTGGACTGAAATTCTGATTAAATTGAGTAGAGTTAAATCAAGCAATCGAGTTAAATCAATGGGTTGTAATTTGAGTACTCGGGTACTTTTTCTAATCTCTACAATCCCTACAACGCAAATGACAAAAAAAGAGAGGAGTTTGAGAGATTTGAGAGTGCAGGGAGCAGTCAACTTGGTAACAACGATGTTACTCACTCGCAGAGTCCTGCCTGTCCCGGCTGAGTCTGAGCCCCGCACGGCGAATCAGTCGGACGAGGCCCTTCATCTTTCTGCTCGATCACTCCACACACACCTGACGCAAAAAAAAAAAAAAAAAAGCAGGGATGCATTTGGGGGGAAAGGCAGTTTTCGAGGGAGATATTTTCAGTAAAGAGAAGTGGAACAGAGTGTGAAATAAAGCTGTAAGGAGTAGGTGTATGTGTGTGTTTGACAACGATTTCATGGTACAAATATAGCCTTGGTCTGAGAAGCGGTAATTTTAGTAGGAAACTTTGCTTTAGGATGTTCAGCTTTTATGCTTTCATTACAGTAAAAGCGATTTTGTTCCACTGGGCAGTTGAGATAAAGACTGAAATTGGAAGCAAACTAGACTTTAAGACTGAGACGGACAAATTAGATGAAGAGACAGACACAGATAAACAGATTACATAAGTACTGGGGAGGTAAAAAAGCATTGATACTAAAAGACATACCAGTCTGTGCTCCTGTTGCAGTTTCAGTATTGTAGTTCACCGCCTTTTTCTGAGAAAAAAAATGACGTTCAAACAAGTATTCAAAACAAAACGATAGAGATGTGAAGTGATATTTCTCAACCAACCCTGGCACACAAGTGCTGTGCGTGTGGATGTGTAGGAGGAAATGTGCGTGCCTGTGTTAAAGCGTGAGTGTGTGTGTGTACCTGCAGTAAGGCCTGAAGCCTGGCAGGCTCCCAGTCTCGGAGGTAGAAGAGGCAGTCTCTGGGGTGATGGGCATGCAGACCTGTCACAGTACACTGGTTCACTGCACACTTCTGCCAGAGAAGGAGTGAGCAAGAGTGTGAGAGAAAAAGAGGATGAATAAAAAGGAGAGAAGAAATCGTGCTCCAGAGAAGGCTGCTACTTTTAGCCCAACTGTAGCTGGCTTCAAACTGAATATCACAGTCACGTACAGAGCCGCATAACATGCACATAGAGATACAAATAGGCACAAATAATTCTAGGACAACAAGACCAGACAGGAACTCACTGTGTGGAAAGGGTTGTTACATCCACTGCAGAACTGATACCTGCACTGGGAACAACTGAAGTGCATACAGCCGCCCCTGGCCAGAGCATACTGGAACCTACAGTTAGGACAAGCTACAAGACAGACATAAGAACAGTAGATAAAACCATTGTATAAAAGAAAGAATGGGCTGTGTGACAGTTTTTCCACCCTATACTGTGGATGTTAACATTTTGCATTCGATAAAAACATAATTTACATAGTCAAGCAGTCTATGTTTGTCTATTGACGTGATTGTTCATATTTTACAGTAGTCAATTTGATGAAAATTAACAATTATATACAAGTATATAATATATATATTATATATACATACATTATATATACATACATACACAGTATATAGTTACATATGGTTTAATATAATAATGCTTATATTAAACCACTGATTTGTATTTATTTATTTATGTGTGTGTGTGTGTGTGTGTGTGTGTGTGTGTGTGTGTGTGTGTGTGTGTGTGTGTGTGTGTGTGTGTGTGTGTGTGTGTGGCTGGCTGTGTGTGTGTGGCGCTGGCTTTCACCAATTGACCAAACACAACAAAACAAACAGACTGTATGAGCAGACAACAGGTTTTCTAAGGGTAATTCTTGTAGTCAGATGGCGCTTTTCCACTACACAGTACCAGCTCGCCTCGGCTCGGCTCGGCTCGACTCGACTCGCCTTTGTTCGGTTTTCCACTGTGTAAAAGTTGTACCTGTACCTGCTTTCGGGTACTTTTTTTCGTACCACCTCCGGCGAGGTTCTAAGCGAGCTGAGGCGAGCTAAGCCGATACTAAAATGTGACGTGAAAACAATGCCGACTGCTGATTGGTCACAGAGAATCTGCGTCATCATTGCACGCGCCAGATGGAGTATCCAGAATAACCCCGCCATTTTTAAATAGTTTGGCCAGAGATAGTTACTAAACTTACTACTATTATTATGGCAACTCGGAAGAATACGCCGTGGTCAAACGAGGAGGTGCAGACATTCCTTTGTTTGGTTGCCGAAGAGAGGATCCAGCGAGAGCTTGATGGGGCAACAAGGAACGAAATGCGTCGCTATGACGACCGGGTACTATTTGTGGCGGTACTTTCTGCAATGGAAAACGGAGCGAAAAGCGAGTCGAGGCGAGCCAAGGCGAGTCGAGCTGGTACTGGTAATGGAAAAGCGCAAGAGTGGGGCAGGGGCAGAATTATTAGCTGTGGGTAGGTGTGGATTAGGCTTCTAGAGAAGATCTAAAGGTGACTCACTGATCCCATTGTCACGCAGGTATCCGGCCAAACCCTGCCTCTGGTACTCAGGGTCATTCTCTCGCTTCCACAGCTGGAACTGCTCACACGAGAGCCCGACGTGCTGCGGCTCCCACTGCAGAGAGCGATAGAGAATAAGACACTCACTACCATCACCATTTTTAATTAATGAGTAATATCAATTAAGGTGACACAAAATACACCTTAATGTATATTAAAAAAAACACTGTAATAACAGCAGTATTACACTAAATATTCCACCACAAAAAATAACTAAAATGCTGCATAGGGACATAAGTCAGAGAATCTTTTTTTATGGATTTGTTCTGTTCAACAAAACTTTCTTTTGTTACACATACATATTCATCTGAAACAAACTTTCTCGTGATTCACTAGACTGGATCAGACTTTACGTCATTACACAAAATCATAGGTGAGTTGATAGTGTCGCTACTTTGAATTACTCCCTAACACTGACGCTCATTTCCTATATTCATGCAAGGTCACCGCAGATCTGTTTCTTGCTTTCTGAACACTTACCGGTTTTTTGCATTGAGCGCAGAAGCTTTTCCTGCACTGCATACAGGTGACCTTGAGTTGATCGCCGTCATAGATGAAGCCATATGAGCACTGTGGGAACGAGATAAGAGTAAAAGAGATGCACTAGATCCTAACATCATGCACCTCTTTTCAGATCACTGTAAAATGTAGTCTCTTGAATGAGACTACAGCTGTTTGAGTATGAAAGTGCTCAGAGACAGTTAGGAAGTGCAGTGTCACTCACATGGCTGCACCACAGGAACTTCGGGTCCTTGATGAGAGCCTGCTCAGTCAGCTTCTTGTGGAAGAGATCGTACACGTCTGGTTCAAGGCAATCCCTGAGCTGGGCAGTCACGCACACACACACACACAAGATCGTTTCAGGTATTACAGTGAGTAGCTTGAAGCCCAGTTATATGCTGCTGTGTTCCAACTCAAGTCCCAGTACTGAACTGACCATCTTTATTTTTTGCTCTTTTGCAGTACCTGTATATCCAGAGTGGAGAAGTAGCTGTTAAGGTGCTCAGGGTCATTGATGTCAGGCTCTGTGCAGACAGGACACACCATGTCTCTGATGTGCTTGTCCCTCACCGCTATGGTGAAATGCTGCTTGAAACATCCACAGCACACAGAGCACTGGCAGGATGTCAGCGACTGCATCTGAAAAGTACACCAAAAAAATAGACTCCTGACTCAACGTAAGGTGCTTTCATACATACATTTGCCAAAAATGTAACAGCATTTCAATTTAGAGCTCATTTATGAAAAGGACCCAGACTGAGACTAAGACTGGGCTGCATGCAATATAAACTGTCCGAAGGAAGTCATTTTTCAAAATGTTTTCTTTTGCATTCTACTAAAGAAATAAAAGTTTGGAACAACACAATGGCGAGTAAATGATCACTTGATGATTTTTGGGTGATCTATCCCTTTAAAGGAATAGCCCACCCAAAAATGAAAATTATCATCATCATTTACTAACCTTCATGTAGTTCCAAACCTGTGGGACTTTCTTTTTTCTGCGGAACATAAAATATTTTTTGCAGAATGTTGGTAACCAAACTGTTGCGGATCCCACTGACTTCAGTAGTATGGACAAAAATGACAATGGAAGTCGATAGGAACCAAAACTATTTGGTTACCAACGTTCTTCAAAATATCTTTTTTTATATTATGTAAATATTTTTTCTTATATAACATTCTTTTGGGGGGGACTATCCCTTTAACAGTATGAGTACAAATAAGACAAGGACACTCTGGTGTAAAAAATACAAGATTCTGAGCCTATCATAGGAGGTGATGCAAAGTACCTTGCTGTGGGGAAAAACCGACAGGCAGATAGGGCATTCCTTGTTCAGCACCCTGCGAATGAAGTCCCGGTCAGGTGATTCACGCACGGCCTGAACCACGTCCTCCAGTGTGTATGTAGCTGTAGGGTCCCGCAGCAAAGACAAAACCAGCTCACATCGCCCCCAGCTGGGCAGCTCAAACACCGCTAGCAGCCTACGGCAAACATGCTTAACACAGACAGAGGATAAGTAACTTTAGTAATGTTTGATAACATAACATTCAATTTACTAATGACCACCTTGAATATATTCGGCAGCCAGCACTATGCAATTAATTAAAGATAAACAGATATATATATTTATCACACAAAAGATGATGCAGACTAAGCTGCAAAAACTGTTTGGCACATCTAGTGGTGAGAAAGCAATGCAGTCTCTCAGTGAAGCTGCATTATTGTAAAAGGCCAGTCACCTGTTTATCCGGATGGTTGATGTCAATGGGGGGCTCTGGTTCGTCGCTCCACATGCGCTGATGGAATGGCTCCAGTAAAGGGCGCTGCAGCAGGACGAGAGCCCCCCTCACATCCCCTCCGCTCTGCCTTAGGGCTTCTTCACAGCGGGTCACATCATTAAAGCCCAGAGAGCCAAGCTCTTTTACCTAACAAACAAAAACAGACAAAATTTCATATTTAGCATACAACATTTGCTACTAGATATATTTACTAGAAATACACTATGCGATTCTGGCCGATAAGGATAAGCTGATAATGTTGCCAGGTTATTGGCCATAACATGAAAATATTTCAGAAATAATTACATAATTTAATTATGTGAAAGTTTAAATTATATTAAATTTCTACATTACTTTGTCTAAATAAAAAATAAAAAATAAAACCCACTATAAACTAGGCTTGAATCCCATAGAAAATCTCTGGTGGGATTTGAAGGCAGTTGCAGCAAAACCCAGCCATTGTTCATGAGGAAGATTCCTCAGAAACGCTGCCAGAAACTGGTGTCTGGTTATACATCTCGTTTGTTTGCAGCAACTCATAACAGCAACTGGGTATTCTACTAAGTACTAAAGATGCTTGTCGAGAAGGGGTTCAATAATTGACTGCAGAAGTAATTAAAAGTTGCATTTTCAGTTGAATTTGGGGAAACCACTTGAAACATTCGTTGTGTTGAGCCATTTCAATTACTTTTGTTTGAATTGTACATTGCAAACAGCTGAAAGTCTGTAAATTTTGCCAATAAACCTGATTTGCAATGGGGGTTGAATAATTTTGATTACAACTGTATGTATATATATATGTGTGTGTGTGTGTGTGTGTGTGTGTGTCTAATAATATAAGAAAACAAATATATTACATAAATAAATATATAATGCTTAACAGGCCTGTAGCTGATTTCAGTCAGATAAGTACAAATATATAAATCTAACAATTTCAATGTACATTCACTAATAAGCATTATATATTCTAATACTGTTGTAAATGTTAAAAGTTATTATATGTAACGAATGGCCTTAATCAAATGCCCTAGTCCTCAGAAAACATTCCCCCTCTCCCGTTGTCATCGGCCCTAAAACCAGTTCTCTTCAAAGGCCGTTATCACCTCGGCTCCACTGAACGATCTCACCAAGAGACTGTGTCTGCAACCCTCAAAGACAGCACAGGAGACCAGATGGCACTAGCCATTAGGTCAAAGACTATAGAGATAAACATCCTATACACAAGGACACTTACTTCATTCATACCCACACACTTTCTCAAATGTTTATAGTATTTCTCCTGTTTTATGCATGTCCCTATGTTTTATTAGTTATGACTAGTTATGATTCTTTAGTTATGTTAGAGTAACTTCTAATATTGATATCCAAAGATGATGTATCACTGCTTTAATGTCTTCAAATCCCCTCTTTCTTGGTATCAAAACAATCCTCTTTTGATTTTATAATCAATGGTGTACAATATGTTATGATAAATTGCATCAGGATATTTTTTACCATACTTTGTGTAAAGACTGCACGAATTCTCCATGCCACCATGAACATGCAAATGGAGATAAGATGAACAAAGACTTTCTCCAGGTCATCTTAGATTGGTCACCCCACCAAATGGGTGTGAACTGATAGGACCCTTAAAAGTATCCGATTAGGTCAGATCCTTTGCTCAATCTCTTTGAGACAACATTTTCCTGTCTTCTTCCAGCAATTTCATCTGCAAGTTAACTTTTTTGGATTCAACGGGGACCACCCCAAGAACCCAAACGAACACTTCAGCGCACTCCCGGAAAAATCATCAAGAATCTACTGCATTTGAACTTGTTGAGCAACCAAAACCAATGCAAGTACCCGTTTGCAGCTTTTAGATGCGTTTCTAAGTTATTGTGCCCCTTTAAGGTGACCCTGATTCTCTGATGTTTCTCGTAGGTTGTGGCTAACTGGTTGTAATCTTGCCATTCTCTTTTCTTCTCTCTCTTCACTTTACTTTCTTGATTCTGTAAACAATCTTTGCTTAGTTTAGTTGTGTGTGTAGCCTACCGTAGTTTTGTTTATTAAACCATTATATTCACACGTTATTGTCTCAGTGTTTGCCACTCACAAAAATATCGAAGTCACTTTAACATCTTGATCTAGCTACCTATGCTATTAGCCTGCAAGTACTTGATTTACTTTAGCTGGAAAAGGTCATTCTTTCTTGGCCAAGAAGATACTATATTTCCTAGAATTAATAATTGATTATGCTTCCTGTTCATTGGATGAACTGATTAAATAATTGTACTATTGATTCTGCTACAGTCAATTCTAAAACATTTAAATATTTATAATTAATTATAATTCTTTCAAATTAATTATATATATATATAAACATATATTTTAAAACTGTAATTCGTTACAATATAAAGGATGGATTGTCAAGAACTCACTTTAACTCTGCGGTCTCTGAGAGCCTGTCTGACGGCTTTCTCATTATCGCCCCCTGCTGCCAGCCAGGCCTGTTTGGCTTCTGCCCTGGACAAGGGGACAGCATTGCTCTTTTCTCCATCCTGGCCATCATTCCCCCCCGAAGAGTTTGATTGTGCATTGGGTTCTTGCTGACAGGACGCAGCCATCACACAGATCTCATCAAGCACATGCGGTAGCTCTGCCTTCAGCCAGTCATTTGGCATTACGTTACTGTTTCCCGACACATACATGCTGGTATACACCTCCTCTGGACTCACTCCTTTCTTCTCTCCCTCCTGAGAAAAGACAGAGACAATAAGAATGCTTGTAAGATTCTGAGGATGATGCCCAGGCTACAACGACATTTAAAAATATCAGACTTACACGAATAAGCTGAATAAGTTTAAGCCCTTCCTCCTTCATCAGTCTTTGCCTTTTCAAATCAGGGTCCTCAGTGGGCATGACTTTAGGTGCGACTGAAAGCGGCGTTACGTCCTTGACCGGTGAGAGAGGGAGGGGCTTAGAGGGTGATAGGGCAGGTTCTGATTTTGAAAGGCAACACATTTCGCATACAGTTGATGGTGTGTGGTTGACGTATGTACAAAACTGGCAAATCCACTAAATGGGATAGAAAAAAAGGAGTCAAAACAGGAACCCGTATTCAGGATAAAACTCAGCATTATGCTAATTTCTTTAGCAATGACAAATCAGAATATACATAGGTTAAAGGGATAGTTCACCCAAAAATGAAAATTCTATCATCATTTACTCACCCTCAATTTGTTCAAAACCTGTACGAATTTCTTTCTTCTCCTGAACACAAAAGAAGATATTTTGAAGAATATTGGTAACCAAACAGTTGGAAGCATAGTATGGAACAAAAATACAAAGTCATTGAGGCCCATCAACTGTTTGGTTACCGACATTCTTCAAAACATCTTCTTTTGAGTTCAGGAGAAGAAAGAAATTCAAACAGGTTTGGAACAACTTGAGGGTGAGCAAATGATGAACAAATTTGGAATGTACTGAATAGTGGCACCTGGCTGTCCATTAGTCCTGTGGCAGAGGTGGTCGGACGTGAGGGCGCGACAGGAGGTCGGGTGGCCAAACGGGGGCGATCACACACCTCGCAAAGAATGCTGCTGCCAGCATTAACCACTGTGCAGCTTTTACACTGCCACTCTAATTGACAAAAGTAATGCACAAAACACCAGAATTAACACAATGATATTCAAATTCAGATGTTTATTTGTCAGTTTGAATGACCACCTTGATATTTCAAAAGGTCAAGCAGGACTGATGGCCATTTAGATGTGAAAAAAAAAAAAAAAAAAAAAACACTGGACTGTACAGACTAACCAGATATTGTAGAAGGCTGTGATGGCTCCTCCTGTAGAGATGGAGCAGAAGAGGACAGACGGGGTCGATCACAGGTTTCACACAAAACCTGCTGCAACGCATTTACTGTAGTGCAGTATTTACATTGCCATGTTGACAGTGATGAGCTAAGGAAAGAAATAAAGACATACAGATTTGTTTAACAAAATCCTCTACACAAACATGTTCTCTCAACACCTTAAATTGCTCAGTGCTAACCTGTGCCGTTTTGTGGCTTTTGAGGAAGTCACAGGCATCCTGATGTGTGTGGACCGTCCTGAATGGGAGTGATACAGCCGGTCACATTCTGTGCATAGCCGCTGAGTGCAGGTGGGGCAGTGAGCAGACACTGGAAAGATGCCACATATGGTGCAGTTTTCTGCAAAGCAATTGAAAATCAATGAAGTAGAATGGAAACGATAAAAGTGGACACTCACAATAAAAGATATTCATTAAAAGGAAAGCCAGGGTTGGTAAACATGATGTCTTTACCTGTAGATGGCACTAGAGAAGAGAGAGCTAGAGCTGGACTGAATAGAGATGTAGGCTGGGAAGGAGACACAGATGAGGGAGTTTGTTTTTCCCATGGTCTCTCACTAGGAGAGATTGCAACTGCATCTGTGCTGATTCCCTCATCATCCTGTACAGACATTATATGGACACTGTATTTAAGTGACCTGCAAAAAAGCTAAGAAATCTAAAAGAAACACTTTTCTCTAAATGCGTGGTAAGATGTTTTTGAAAGATGTTCTCTTAAGCTCACCAAGGCTGCATTTATCGGATAAAAATACAGTAAAACATTAATATTGTAAAAAAGTTTACAATTTAAAATGACCGTTTTCTATTTGAATGTATTTTAAAATGTAATTTATTTCTGCGATGGCAAAACTGAATTTCAGCATCATTACTCCAGTCTTCAGTGTCACATGATCCTTCAGAAATCAATATAATATGCTGATTTGGTGCTCAAGAAACATTTATTATTATTATAATCAATGTTTAAACGAGTTGTGCTACTTAATATTTCTGTGGATTCAGTGATGCTTTTTTTCACAATTCTTTTATGAATAGAAAGTTCAAAAGAACGACATTTATTTGATTTTGAATATATTTTTTGTAACATTATAAAATGTCTTTACTGTCACTGTCATTTCTTAAAGAAAAAAAAACCTTTACCTGCACAGTGAGGGAGGGAATAAGTCTTTCAAAAAACTCTGGATGAGAATGGGTACCCTACAGAAAAGGAACAAACTCTATATGTGAGCTTAACATTCATTTGTGATGAATTCATAATATGCTTTTACTTCACAGCCTTAGACCTTGATTAGCATGTCCAGTTCCATACGAAGACACATGATCTCAAGAGTCACTGACGCCACCTTCTCAACATCTGGCTGGACAACATCATCAGGAAAGCTCAAGCCATCATGCTGCTGATTGGTGTAGCCGTACAGGTTAAGTACTGCTCTGCCACCCTAAAAGAGGAAGATAAAGAATAGTAACTGCAGATATTTTGTATGGTTCACACAAAAAGCCTTATAATCTCATCCACCACACACACCTGAATAGAGTCTACTGTCGTCCTGAAGACAGGGTTGTTGTACTTGACTGTACGCCAGTACTTCGGCCTGTTGGGGTTGGTAAGATTGGAGCCATACTTCTCCAAGATGTTAAGAGCGGTGGAAAGTTTCTGCAGGAGGCTGAGGGACTAAAAGGATCAGGAGATATTAATGTACAACAGAAAGGTATGAACAAGAATACATTACAACCTAGAAACAACAACAGTGGGTAAAAATGAACTAGGAAGAAATGTTATGTGCATACAAATGAGTGGAAACTGGACCAATTCTTTTGAAACACCTGAGGAAACGGTGACAGATTACCCAGCGCTATGCGCTATTATTATGCGCTTTATGTCAGTCATTCACACTGCCAAAATAACCCCAAACATTCCTACTAAATACGGTCAGGGCCGTAACCACCATAGACATTTACGGCCAAATTGTCCCTACAAAAAACAAAACAAAAAAAAGATCTGCTGCAATGACAAAAGGTTTAAAAAGATCTATGTTTAGGTAGGTATGTCTCAGTCTAACATAGCTCATCAATGTCAAAATAACTGAGATGGCCAATCAAATAAAAGAAGGCAGGCTTCACTGTTCACAGAACCCAAACATGACACTTGAGAAACAAAGGTTCAGTCACTGCCTACTACTGTATTTCTACAAAGTATGTTGCATTCAGAATGTTGTTGGATGACAAAAAAGCTGAATTTTTCATTAATGTAATGTTGATTCTGGGTAAATTCTTTATCCTTTAATGTAAGTGTATGAAGCGTATGACCTGTTGCATGTGCAACAATTAATTTTATTAACGTTTAGGCTAAACAAAAATTTTGCAACCGACTAGTCAAACACATTACATACTGTGCTGTTTCTTATAACCGGTAGTATAAAAAGCCTAAAAGCAAGCTTAATAGTCAATTATAGTTATTGACAAGACATGGAAGAAAACTGAAAAGTTTTGTATAGACTGTCAAAAAACTCCCTCACATTGCTCTTCTTATGAGTGGACATTTCTCTGAACACGCCGTGAATGCCACAGAGAAAACGAACGCATGCGGAATCTGAGGTAAAATGAAATTGTTTTCTGCTCCAGATAAACACTTTTCAAAATAATATATTCATTTTAAAATGTAACATTAGCACAGCGGTAATTTAAACACTACCTTTGTAAAAATATAAAGCAAAATATTAAATGCGCAAAAAAATAAGTAAATAAAAATAGTATTTTCAAGTCGACTAGCAGCAGCAGCAGTATTGTTTAATCGACTAGTCTTGCACATCCCTAATGAAGACAAAACCTTACTTCTCTGTATGTAAAAGTGATTTTCTTTGTGGATATTTTCCATAATTAAATTTTATGGAGATTAAACAGGCCTGCAAATTGGTTTACAGGAAGATGAATATAAACACCCCACCCACCCCCCCAATTATTTGTGTGCCTTGCATTATTTAAAAAAAAAAATCAAATTAGGCTAATCTACGTTAAGTACGGTAACAGAAATGAAAAGTAAAGAAAAAAATTGTAGGCCTATGTCTAAATTGTAAGACTAGTCTTAGCGGTTTATGCAACCGACACTCAGATATTTACCTATATCTTGATATTTGATGCCTGTTTTATGATAGAAATGGTAATATCCACAACCAAATTTTTGGTCAAATTTCATAATTTAAGTGATTCATGTAATTCATAAATGAATGTGATGAGACATGAAGCATAAATAAAGTACCCCACCCCCCATCAAGACATGGTTACAGCCATGTTTACAATCACTAACTACATGCAAGAGGTCGGTTCATAAAAAGTCAAACGTTTGCTTCCTGCTGTAATCATACGCTTATTGGATTGCTGAGGAAAATTAATTATTACACCAGCTCTCACCTCATTCCTGTTATTTCCACTATTGTTCTCCGTCAGCATGCTTTCAGCAGCTATGTAGCGATATTTGCTGGAGGGTGGAAGAGGGATATTGGCCATGGCTGCCACCCCTGCCCTCATCTCCTGAGCAGAGCCTGGAGAGGATAAGCTGCCTTCCGCATTCACCCTCACCTCCTCCAGCTGATCACTGAGAGACGCCATAGCTGAAAGTGAAAGTCAACAGAGCTTTAAAACACACAAGGCCCGAATAACTTGTGGCCATCGTTTTTCATGCCAAAGCATTAGGAAACAAAGTAACTATATTATAGTTGGGTTTAGTGGCATTATAGTGGCATCAAACAAGGTTTAACAATAACGTTAGTCAACAACACGTCTGGCGATTCACTTGTAAAACATACGGAGTAATGTTCTCGTTTATTTACAGTTAATGCTAATAATTCATAGATATGGATGACTGTCACATAATTTAAATAACCTGTATAGATGTTTACACCTCTTTCATGTTAGCTAATACGCTATAGCTGTCTCGTGAATGGAAAGTGAAACCATAACAACTCCCTCAAAGCTAGTTTGCTACACCATTCTACAAAATCAGATATAAATTTCTGGATAAACTGATGTTTTACGGTCTTAGTTGTTATTTTTATAACCTTTAATGACAGACGTGTTTATATAGCTACTCAAAACAAATACATTGGTTTAACGCGTCTGCTACCACTGAATAGTCGTACGCTAGCAGGCTAACGCTTAGGAAATATCGCCAAAAACTCGTCAGGGAGACAGCGACATTACAGAGAAACGTCTAGATGTGTTTCTGTTAATACTGTGCAGTCAAGTCAACCATCTGAAGTATTTTATGAGCTGTTGATAAATATTAACATACTCACCGCGTATTGACAGAGCAGCAGCGCTCTCATTCACTCATCTGTAAAATTGAAAGACAACACACATAACTTTACCCGCATAGAGGCGCTGTGGCATCCAGGCCACGCTGTGACTGTTAGCACGTACAAACTGCATTTCATCAACAAAACAATTCTTATAAATGGATAAATGAGTAGATAACAAAAGAGGGATGAATGACTGACAGGAAGAGGTACCGAAATGTAAAAAGAAGTGTCAACAGAATATAAAGTAGAGTGAAATTTAATTGTAACAAACAAATGACACGTGTGATAAATTGAGCAACATTGTAATAATAATATCATAGTTACTTTATATGGTATATGTAGAGGGATAGCTTAATCTGTTTATGATAATGAAAACTGACGTGAGTGCTTTGCTGAATATGACAAATTGGGTACACCTGCTGGCTGCCATTTGATTGCGTTAATGTGGATCTCTGAAAACAGGCAAATCTATAAAATCTGAAGTGCAAAGCTTTTACGACAGAGTTAGTCGCTCTCGCTGTATACACATTTAAGTCCACTTTGTCACAGTCACATCTAAGGTTAGTCGTTTTTGTTGTCCTAATATGAAAGCATTACGTTTGAACATTAGGCCTACATGCCTGTCTATTTTAAGATAACCTTGCTCTTTTCTGATGGTTCTGAGTCTTGCACGTCTTTTACAGTATTGCGGTGTTTTGTATCCTGTGCTGTCTTTCTTCGTCTCGACACAAGAAATGGAAGGTAACATTCTCAAACTTCTCTCTTACCAAAGAAATAACTAAGTTTTTGTATTGCTTTTTTTAGCTGTGTGTGTGGTGTCCTGGTAAACCCTTTGGGGACTTTTGTGTGCACGTTTAAGCTGGTCAGGATGGGAGATGATTATAAACCAGATGAACCAGATTTTTTTTAAACTCCTATAAACCAGATGATTATGTCATCATTATTATTGTATGTTGAATCAGTTCATGCAATTCCTGGAACTCCAACCTTTGAGTCATGACCTTGGAGCATTGCTAACTCGATTCTGTACTCTACTGTGAGCTATAGGAACACTGTAATGTACATGTATCTGGAAAGTTATTTTTGGTGGAGTTTTCTTTCTTTCTTTTTTAGGCATAAGCAACACTTCACAATCCATGGGAGTTGGGCAACCTCACCATCCAGTAAACCACACCAGACCTTTTTTCTATGTTCAGCCACCATCTCAGCCATATTTCATGTATCAGTGGCCCATGAATCCGTATGGACACTATGGCTTTCCAGGACCAGGTAAGGTGTTTTTTTTTTTTTTTTTTGTCTTTTCTGGTTGAGGCTTTGCTTTTTGTTGTAGATTTCCTCTAGTTTTTTTTCTCTCTCACTCTTCTCTTTTGTTCTAGCTTTGCACTATGGTCGTCCCTACATGGCCCCTTATCAGTTTATGCAGTATCCTGGGTATGTGGTTCCACATGCACCCATGCAGCCAATTGATTACAGAAGAATCAACCCCCATTATCCCTCCGTTGCATCCTATGACTTGCGCGTCCGCCACCACGTTCAACACGCTGGGATGCATAGGGAGACTGCCTGTTCTGAGGTCCAAACAGATCCTAGTGATTCAGTCAACAAACTGATAGACAAAATTGAGAGTCTTAAGGCCTGTGAACAAGGTGGTGACAAGGGGCTTAACACAGTGGTTTCCTCTACCCCTGATGTAGTGCAGGGAGAGAAGCTGGCCTGTTTAAACGAGGACTCTAAATTAGAGCTTGCCTCTCAGGAAGACAAGGAAGAGCAGGTCAGTCAGGTCACAAGGCCCACAACCTACAGCGACTCTGCGTATGACGCAGAGTCTAGCCAGGGTGTACTGGATGAATGTGTGTTATCAGATGTGTTGCCCCTTGACAGTTCCTCTCTCCATGAGGAAGAGGATGCCAATGAGGAAGATGACCAGCATAGTGTTTCTGATGAAATATGCTGCCAAAATGGGAAGTCTGTGACCAGTGCCACTGGCAATATGTTTTGTAGTGGTGTCAAAAGCACTGCAGATCCAACAGAGAGCCACGATTTCGAGGAACCAGGTGATGAGCAGTTGCAGAATATAGTGTCAACTGATGCTGCTGATGCTGCTGCAATGGAACCTCTTATAAAGTTCTCAGAAGACTTTGACCTGCCGTATCAAATCCTTCGCCTGCCCTGCAATAAGATGACAACTGGCCTCAGTCTTGAACGAGAGGTTGACCCACTTGTTTATTTTGATTCTCCATCTGCTCTGTTGCCTCCACAAAACTATCTCTCCTCAATTGGCAGCGCATATTCCTACAGCTACTACCCTCAGGTGACCCAAGAGCGCCAGAGTGTCTTGAGTCCATCCATAGATGAGCTCTCCTCCAGAGATGAAATGTTCTCCACTGACGTGGAGGATCTTGATCTTGTTCCAGGGCACGTGTATGTGGGTGGTGGCAGGCTGGCTGAAAGTGATGTGCCCGTTCGTTCCCGAAAAGAGCTCTTGAGTATGGAAAAAACTTGCTTGGTCTGCCAGAAAACATGTGCGTGCTGCGGGTCTAGCTTGCAGGATGAGGTAGGAATGTATAAGATGGCTGAACACAGCCATCCTGAGAGGAATGAGGTGTCTGATCAAGATTGCGAGTGTGACATCGAAGGAGAGGTGCGGAGTAACTGCGAGTCTCCGAGAGTTTCCAAGAGGAAGTGTTGCATTAGGCATGCGTTACCTTCTTGTGGACATCACAGTGCCAAACACAGACACCGGAAGCTGCTGTGCGAAGGCCAAGAGAGCTGTGATCTATTTGAGCAGGCTCGGGTGCATCCCAAAGGAGAATGCTGTGAGGAGTATGGTGCTCTGTCTAAAGCCGATAAGAGAATTCAAAAGGGTTCCTTGTGCAGGCCTTGTATTGGTAAGTGTTAGTTTTTTTTTTTTTTTTTTTTTTTTTTTTTTTTTTTTAATTCTAATGCTATCACAAGGTGGTTAACCCATGCAAAAACAATTTAGAACGACAGTGGAGAGAGGGTGTTGTGTCTGACCAAGAGAATTGGGCAAGTTGTGGTGCCAAACCAAGGTCTCGGAGGCAAGTTAGTGGACCTCAAGATCAAGGTATAATGTTTTATTTTAAATGTTGACACAATGCATACCTAGATGTCTAAAGTCTTCTGAAGTTATTCACTGCAAGTGTCAAATATGCTTTGTCTTTTAAACTGTTCTTTTTTACTTCTAAAGGGAGAACTCCATTGAGAAGGCCGACTTGTAAAACAATCCATCAGCAAAGGCCAAGAAGTGAATATGATGAGACTGAATTTACCTACTGCCAGAGGGGCAGAGGTGAGTTTAGGGTTTTAATCAAGTTAAAAAAATTGCTTCTGAATCTTTTTATTTTATTTGTGCAACATCTTTGTCCCATCAGGTGCTATGAAGAAAAGAGGCACACGATACTAAACCATTATGCACTGCTGTAATACTTAATGTATTACCTGAAACTTGTGTAAAATGCACTTCACTATGAATGTACACATGGACACTGTTCTTGACTGTATGTAACTAAAAAGTATGACAGTGATGTACACCTTGCTGCATTTCCATTGCTCAAGTTAACTTTCTATTTTGGATGCAATGCATTCATCTTAATATTATGTTGAGACTGCTCTCACTGGACCAGGCCTTGACCCATGCCTACAAGGCCTCTTTCACATGTGCCTCAGTCTGGGAGGTGTAGATTGTGTTTGGTTTGTAAGGGCTCTGAATTTTTGCATGGTCAAGGACTGGCCCACTGGGACCTTTTCAAAAAATGTTGACACTGGAGATGCAGCTGGTTTAAGGGGTGATGCAAGGGGAAAAAAGATTAAATAAAGTGGACAATTTGGCAGTTTAGCCACTCTTAGTCCAGATGTGTCTTATTGTTTTTATTACTGTGACATTTTTATACATCAGTGTAATGTTGACATGCAGAAAACTCCATTTGTCTGTACAGTGTTATTGTGTCATTAAAGTCTTGGCATTGCACTTGAACTGTCTCGTAAGTGGTTCTCATCTTTTCCCCCCTTATAAAAAAAAACCTTCACTAGATTTTTTTTGCCGCTGTTGTCCATGTTTTTCATTTGTGAGGGCCCGATCTTTAGTGTGAACTTGTCATGATTCCAGCATCTCAGTTGCAGGTGAACTTTGAAATGAGAACTCTCTAGTATAGTGCTAGGTTTAGCCATGGTCTGCCTCCCCCCCCCCCCCCCCCCAATACTATATATATATTGGTCTGTGCTTGTGCATGTTGGCTTGTGTGAGATCCAGAATGTCCTCACTTTTCAAATTTCCTTATTGATATCGAACACTGATTAGTAAAATGGACCTTAAAAAGGCTGGTAAAATTAGTCAAATCATATCCCAAAAAAGGTGTGCCTATATGATGGCTGCCTTAAATATAACTGACCATATTTCTATTTACAAAAGTATTTGACATCGCCAATTATTATATTTACAAAAAAACAGAAGTGGGCCTCCCATTAGCCCAATGTCACAAACTCCTCATTCTCCATTTGATTTTATATTTCAGTGTTGCAAGTGATATGTTATGTCACTTTGAATGACAGCTTTGACATTTGAATAGTCTGTTTTGATGGCTTCCTCTAAATTTAATCTTATTTTGCCCAGAGGAGTGATATAGAAATGGATAAACAACTTGTCATGCAATAAGCCTACTAACCAACAATGCACAAAATGTTTTTACTTCATTAACAGCATTGAGTATCTTCACTGGTTCACAATAGTTTACTCCTTTCAAGATTTATATCAGTGTTATAATAGGCTACATCCCAATAAATCCATAAAGGCTCATAAAGACATAAAAAACACGGAAACTATGTTTTATATCGTTAATATTTCTTTTTAGTGTTTACTTAAATTGAGGATTATATGATTTAGATTTGTTTTACTTATCGTGCAAGGCAAGTAGGCTACGTATCTGTTTTGTAACAAATATAATCCGCCTTAACGACTAACATGTTCAGACCCGACAAACGCTGGCAATTTTACTAGCGGGCTTCCTTATTGGCTGTTCTCTTCGCAGATGTCGCTCGCTATTGGCTGCGCTGTGGGAGTAGCAGTGAGCGTTTACAGTACAGCCTCTTTGAAGAAGGAAGAGAGAAGTATGACAGATGAGACTGTCTGCTCTGCATGCGATGTTCACCGTTTGCATAGAATAGATGAAAGAAGATCTCCAAATAGAAGGTGAGTTTTTCATCCCTCCTTTCAAAGATACACGTAAAACGACTTGGCTTTCCGATGTGTGCATTCGCATCAAATTTAGTGCTGAGATTTCTTTAAACTCTTAAACAGAGTTTACAAAACATGTTTCATCAGTCTTTGTTCACTTGCATTGTTGCATATTTGCTGCATTACGTTTTTTTTTATCTGCGGTATTATAAACTTCGCTCAAGGTTACTTAGAGCACACGTTTAAGTCTGCAAGTTCATCTTCTGTACAACGTGCAAGATTTATATTTGTGTTGTATTATGTAGTGTAGTACGGTAGGTAAGCCACTTTCTCTTTTACATTGCAGCATAATTATCTCGGGCAGCTTTCTGTCTCTGTTCCGGTTTAAGTCTTGTTTTGATTGTTTAGAGGCACGCAACAATGGCTGCGTGTCAAAACAAAGTGAGCTTCCTACCAAGGCACCCTTTCTGGGTAGCATTGGCGCGTTGAACATTAAAAGCATATATGCTGCCCAGAAATGTTATGTATGCACCTTAATAGGTTTTGAGAGACAGCCATTGACAACTAGTCTAAATATGTCTGTCTTTGAAAACAGACATGCCCTGATAATGCCTGAACATGTTAAAATATTTAGGCTATCCCTATAAAAACCCAACCTTTGGCTCATATAATCTGTTTTTATGTCATTTAACTTTAACAGAAATGTTGATATCAGATGCTGGTTGACTTTACTGTGTCCTTGGGACTGGATTAGTAAATTCCACTGATATTATCTTACATTATCTCATCTCTGTGGATTGCTATCAGACACTGCTTGATCCACTCAGTAGGCTATTCGAATGGCCTTTTGTCTATACGTTTGGTTTCTTATTAACACGTGTTTGTGTAGATGACCGGCGTTGTACTTTAATCACTGTAAGCGTTCTGTTAATTTGACACCCATTCAGACAGCATTTCAGTGCAAAGTTAAATGCTTATCTCATTCTTGTATAACACACCCTGATGAGTTGAAGTCCAGTACAAAAATAAACACAGATGAAAATCTGTGTGACTTTGCTGCATAAATTACAGATCGCCTTGGGATGTTTCACATTTCTGCATTGTTTACACAGGTTAATGTTGGAGGTGCAAAGTTGTAACACCAATATCCCACAGATGTCCTATGTTGCCTCAAAAAAAGGCATCAAAAAGTAAAGGCCAAGAGCATGCATGAATGGCTCCCCTCCCCGCCTGCTCAAGTCAGCGCATTGTCCTTGAGAATGCCACACGGTCTCAGTTTTTAAGTGACGTTTTTCATTTTTTGCTTTGCCCCCTTTCTGACAAATCCCCTGATTCAGCTGCATCCATCAGGTTGATGCTTCGCTTGTAGCATGCAGCTGACAGTTTGTTATTTGCTTGTTTCATTGTCTTAGTTTTCGAGAGACACTCAGCGAAGCTTCCACCATGGGGTTCACGTTTCTTAAAGCTGAAATCAGAAAAGCAGTTTCACATTTGATAATATCACTTGAGGTGCATCTAGTGTATACATTCCATTGTATTTCGTAATGCACTTGATCCTCCTATTGTTTTAAAGTAAAAGTAAAAAATAAAAACACTAATATTTCCAGTCTAGGTAGGAAAATATGTCAGGTGAAAGCAAGCTTGCTCAGCATACAATCAGAGATTAATGCGAGTACAAAAGTGAGAACTCTGAGGAAATGTTCTCAAGGTTACACCTTCACAAGTATTTCATTTGATTTGGTAAATTTGCCCACAGGACGTTTAATAGATTGGCACATTTTCTCCCCTGCGTGCCACACCAGAAAGGCTGAAGGAAATTATGCAATGTGAAATTGAGCTGGAGTGGTTTTCATGGTAACTAAATTACTATGGAGCACTTGAATTCTCCATCACAGCAAGATGGATTTGTAGCGTCCACATTTGTTTTATTTGCAATGCACATTTTTTCTGATTTTTTGTAATGATACTAGTTTGATGAGTATGAAATAATCATGACTTCAAACGTTAAACTGGTCTCATTTAGCAAAAACAGTTTTAACCCCCTTAGATTTATTAGTACCGGTAAATTAAAAGTATTTGTATGTGTAAGTCCCTAAAGCCGTCTATGAGATTGCTGTAATGTGTTTTTGACTGGAAATCCCAAAGAGAAAGGAAATATTTCCACTTCTCCATCACAAGATAATGTGCACCTAATAATGGATAAGCCCTCAGGGCCGTCCGTCCATTCATACCACAATAGCAGGCTTAATTGCATTATTAATTATTTTCCCCCTCAAGGGATGGAGTGAAATTATACTTATATGAGCAATTACTTGCATGGTGTAAACCTTTGAACTTGAAAGAGAAGAGCACACTGCGATAACTGATTTGTTTTGTATGCCATGGTCACATCATTATGTTATTGCTGTAAGTGTTACAAAAGAAAGTCTGGAGTGAAGTGCTGAGAATGTGGACACAATTCATTTAACTTTAACTTAGTCACTTGATAAGTGTTCATTCATTTCTCAGGTGATTGACATTTGTAGCACCGGCACACTTGAATATTCCCTTGAATAATCCTCCCTTAGTGACAAGCATTGAGCCAAGCAATTAAAATGCATATTAGCTGTACAGTACCTGAAGGAAACAAATGCCCTCAAATCAATTTTAGATGAGGTTAGGAAATATTTTTAAGCTCTGAATTGTTTAAGGTCAGAAGGAAGCATGAGTGCCGGAGGGGTTTTGAACTCTCATTCACTGGTCAGCTTCATGCATGCTAATAGTCATGTGTCATGCAGGTTTCAGAAATTTTGCCTGCGGGCTCAACAAAACTAGGTCACATTTTGCTGTTGCTTGTAAGGGGAATTTTTTCATCCAGTGAAAATTTGGACTCCCATTATGTGTGCACATACACACTTGCTCTAAGTGGATTATGCTGCCCATTGGGTTGAACAACATTGTATGGCAATGAAACAACCCTGATTACAGGGTTATATTGATAACAGAACACATAATAATACTGCATTTTATTTATACAGGGTCCTTCCAAACATAAAGACATTTTAAATTCCATGATGTTATCATAAATATAAAACATTAAATAAAAGAATATACCAGTGTAAGAGGGATATAAAGCATAGGAAAAAAGCATAACAAAAGACACAGATTAGCAGTCAAGGGAGGAGTACTAGATGTGTCAGTCTGTGGGTGAGGTCTGAAACCCCCTTACTGGGTTTTTAATTATGCATTTAGAAATTACTCATATTACACAGCTGCCTTTGATTGAGAGATGCACATGTGAAAAGTGACAGATAAAATGAAATTTATGCCAAACGTATTAAAAAAAATCATACAGCAATAATATCCATCCATATCCATTCAGTATATCCATTTCTAGCAATATGTATTTCAAATAATAAATATACTAAATCTGTTGTAAACAGTGCATGCATATTACAGAAAATATATTTTTCAAAGTAAAATAAATAAAAGTAAAATTTATAAATAAATATATTTAATTTAAACCTTCCAATGCCAAAATATATTACAAAATGGTAAATGGAAATGCAATTTAAAAAAATATATAATATGAAATATAAATGTATTTAGATGGAAAATGTATGGCCAAAAATACTAAACAGGAAACATAAGTAACTAAAACCAAACAAATATATGTAAATATATTAACTTTTTTGTGAAAACATTCTGTGGTTATGTTATAGATGCTTTCTTCCCATTTAAAATGTACCTCTAATTTCTCCTGGTCTAGAGGACATCTTCAAAAGTTAACTCATTTTCAAGAACTTCAAGAATGGATGAATTGT